TGATCAATAGTACTTACAGTAAGTATTAACAGTAAGTAATGAGCAATAGTGATACAACTGGCGAACCAAAACTGGAATTTGTCGTTTTGACTTTCACATGATGGTCACCATAAACTTATTATAAAACAATTATGCAAGATGATTATATTCATGCATATTTTGATTTGTGTGAAATGCATATATTCAGTGTTGTTATTGATACTAAAACACTAAAAGTTGTTTTTGGTCATTGGAAATAAGCTGAAATAAAAAAATATATATTTATGTGGAAATATATATAAAAAATAATATATGAAGAGTTCAGATGCAAAAGCCTCTAAATGCCATTTGAAATTGTCTTCTTTAATGATGATTTTTATCAAACTTGTATATTTAAGTTCAGTGATTTCACTTAAATAACAATTAATAGGTAATTATCATTGCCATTTAAGTGAAATCTCTGAACTTAAATATACAAGTTTGATAAAAATCATCATTAAAGAAGAAAATTTCAAATGGCATTTAGAGGCTTTTGCATCTGAACTCTTCATATATATATATATATATATATATATATATATATGAAATAAAATATATATAATATAAATATAAGATGAAAAACTTGACAAAGTTTGTTTACATACTAACATGACTAAAACTTAAAAGTTGAAACTATAAAGAAATAACAAAATGACTAAAACAAACTAAAATCAAAACGAAATATAAACATATCAAATATTATACTATAATATAATTAATTATATCAATAACACTGCATTTATCAGCTCCTAATCTAGTTATAGGCTTTCACAGTTGAGTAACAAACTAAATTAACAAAAAAAGCCTTAAATTACATAATAACAAAAGACTATCTGCAGAATAAAATTTCCACTAAACAACAACATCTGGAACAATATTCATACAGGCGAAACTCGAAAAATCAGAATATAACTTAAAAGGTGAAACTAATATATTATATAGACTCATTACATGCGAAGTGAGATATTTCAAGCCTTTATTTGTTATAATTTTGATGATTATGGGAAAACCTTTTCACAATACTCCAATTTTGAATTTGGGGTTTTCATATCTGTAATCCATAATCATCAAAATTATAACTAATACAGGCTTGAAATATCTCACTTTGCATGCAATGAGTCTATATAGTATATTAGTTTCACCTTTTAAGTTCAATTACTGAACTTTTGCACCATATTCAGATTTTTCGCACTAAAAACACATCAATGCTTTTATCTGCGTTCCCGGTCCATCATCGTCCTGTACGCCTGCGGATCGATGCGAGTTTCTCCCGTTCATCCAGAGCGGAACAAACGTCTTCTTCCAGCTCACCTCTTTAAAGAGTGATTTGTCTGAGGTGAAGGCAACAGAAATTGCTTTCAAACAGGACTATTTTTATCCTGAAGTAAATTAGTTTGGATGTGGCGAAATGGCCAAAACCCAGACAGCTTTAGTGAGTCATCCCATATATCTCTGACTGGAGCCATCAAAACACACAAAAACATTAACGAGGTGAAGTCTTGATGTGTTTCAGGCTCTTCATATTCTCCACTGTTGCGGCTCCTCTCTTCCCAGTCTGTCAGTATCGCTCTGTTTACTTCCTGTCTCCTCCTTCTGAAAGCACACTGTGCTCTGATTGGTCGGCTGGATCAGTGTGCTGTGATTGGTCGAGCGCTTCGAGTGTGTTTGGGAAAGTCCCGCCCCTTTAACACACTACTAACTAACTCAACCAGGCCCCGCCCCTTTATTCTGCGCATGAATTATTATAATGAGGAATATAACCACCACTAAACACACGGAGAAGGCGGAGTGATGTGGGGTACCTGAGCTGTTTGAGGAACTGTATGTCGGAGCTGCTGCTGATGAGTTTGATGAACTCCTCGTAGGACGGCGCGTACGTGTACGCTTTCTTGTGATGCTCGTTCACCTGCTCTCGGTGCTCCAGCTGGGCGAGCAGCATGCGGTTGATGTAGTCCGGGTCGCTCAACACGTCCACCAGCGGCTTCAGCACTGCAGACACAAACGGAGAACAGTGTTGAGCCGGCAACATGAAGGAGAGTCATTAATGACATCATTTTTGGGTGAATTAACCCCTATGTATACGGGCCACCTACATTTACTTCACTATATTACTATTAAATCTTAAACAATATATCGATGGAAAGGTCTAAGACTGAGTCCTAAATAGACATTTTAGCGCTGTTTTTTTTTTCTCACAAATTATGAATGAACAGTAATATATGAATTTATGAAAAAAAAAAAAAAAGCGACGTGACAAAAAGTCGACGCACACACTTTTAATAATTGAAACTTTGGTTTTTAGTGCTAAAAGTTCATAATAAAACATAATCTAGTATTTGTCAGTAAAAAAAGATAAAATTATATTTTAAAAAGTAAGGTAAGAAGTCCACTAAAAAGTATAATATATGTATAAATATATAATTTATTATTATTATATCACATATTTTAGTAGTTATCATAAATTAGGTTATCATTTGAAAGCTTACGAACTCAGAATTCATCCTGTGAAAACCGTTTGGAAATTGGACGTTTCGTTACCATAGAAACGGTATTTTTTTTTATTAGGCCCCTCCCCTTTTGGGCATCATTTTGAGTCCCTTTTGAGTCTCAAGAATCCATATTTAGTGAGAGAAGTGATATTTGGATAGAAATGTATTAATTTGTTATGGCAGAAGGCATACAATTAAATTCAATGGAATTCAATGGCACCCGGTGGCTATTTTTGGTACTACGCCTAAACTAAATTTTTGTGATATCAACTTTAAATTTGGAACACAACTTGGTTAGATATATAGCTTTCATTTTATAGAAAAAAAATATTTTGTAAAATATTTATTTTATAATAAAACAAATATATTAATAAAGTATATTTGATTTACTGTAAATTATAACTTCGATAACTTTTTCATACTTTATTTTTTTGAAGTACTTTGAATAATTTTATTTCCTTTTCCTCTTCAGAACATGGTCATTGATAACAGAGCATATTTAAACAAAAAATAATAAAAACAAAATCTCAGCATGTTCAAAAGAGAAGAAAAAGAATATAGAAAAAAAAGGAAGAAGCTAACTTACATTTCACTTCAGTAATAATCTATTATAATAATTCTTTAAAACAAGATCAAACTTAGGTCTATATTCCAAAGCATTCTTGAATTACAACCATTTAAGTTTGTATAGTGCATTTTAATGTCAATTATCAAAAGGTAAAGGGTTAAAGAGTTGTCATGAAGCGGAAGTTGCGCTCGTCTTTTCTTCCCTATTGATTTGAGACGTGCTGTATATCCGAGTGAAACGGCTTCTTCTGTATTTTTTGTTTGTTTATTAGACACTGATAAACTGCAGTTGAACCATAGTGCTGTACAGATAAAAAATAAAATCAGCAAATTTAACATACAAAGGTTAAAAAAGCCAAAGTAAAAAAAATAAGATTTCAACTCAAACAGGATTTGACTTAAACAAGAACAAATGTAGGTCGCGTCGCCATTGAAATGAATGGGATCGTGTCGCTGGCAGTGTGAACGGGGCTTCAGATACACTACAGCGTTTGAGGCGCTGTTCAGCCAATCAAGACCAGAGGCAGGGATTATGCAAATGAGTTACAAACCTACATAGGAAGTGAGACTGGAATTACTGACGACTCGTTTCAGGTCAGAATCACTTCTTTCTTTTACAGGTGCAACTCGAAAAAATGAGAATATGGTGCAAAAGTTCAGTAATTCAACTTAAAAGGTGAAACTAATATATCACATAGACGCATTATTTGTTATAATTTTTAAGATTATGGATTACAGATATGATGAAAACCTTTTCACAATATTGTAATTTCATAAACTGTAATCAAAATGATAACAAATAAAGGCTTGAAATATCTCACTTTGCATGTAATGAGTCTATATAATATATTAGTTTCACCTTTTAAGTTGAATTACTGAACTTTTGCACCTGTAGGACACAATAACTCTTATCTTTTACATTCTCGCATTGAAAGGAAATTAAAAAGCAGAAGTATAATAGAGGCTTTACTTTAATATCCCGGAGTAATCCATCATTTCATTTCTCAGACATCAGCTTTAGTCTCTCTCCAGTCTCCAATAATAGATGTCATTAGTAATTTCATGGCAAATCAAAGGCAATTACAATCACACATCTGGTGCTTTTAGAAAAGATCCTGGAATCAATTTTGTGATTTGTAAAAAAACAAGAAAAAAAAAAAATGCACAACCGTGCGGTCGAGAAGCTTTCCTCAAATCTAATTCTCAAGCTGCGACACGGTCAGTGAATGAAGCTCTTGTTCTGTGAACCAAATCTCATTTCCATCCATGAAAGCAAATCATGTCTCCTTATCAAAGTCGTGTACTTGTGTTTCAGAAATATCTTCTTCATTAAACCACACCGACGGACACGAGCTACTCTGTGTGGGAGAAATATCGCTTTATTGCATTCCAAATGAATTGATGCTAATCATATTTCCTATGATGAATAAAAGTGCAAAGGAACAGCATTTATTTGAAATTGAAATATCTTGTAATATACTATAATAATAATAATATGCCTGTAGCTCAAACCATGCTAAAGTCAGGAAATGCATGAACTACTGTAATAAAATGAAACGTAAGTCTCTTTTGATTAAAGTGACATGTAATAAACTGGTGTCATATAACAATGAAACACTAACAGCACACAGGAAGATCTGTCTTGCGTTCCTTGATTATATATATATGATGTTTTGAAGTTTTTATGCAAAAACAAGAATCTGAGGTCACGAACTGAGTCTGACAAGTAGAGATGCACAGATTAAAAAAAAAAAAAAATCACATGATCAGTGCCCATTATATCCTGTCAATCAAAAAATCTTCTGTTGAATTTCATATGAAAATATATGAACATCATTAACCCTTGTGCATCAATTAAAAAAAGTTACACAGGTAAAAAGAGGACAAAAATGTCCCTGTCAACAAAACTGTCATAAAAATGTGACGCTTCGGAGCACAGACTTAAGTTTGGTATCATTTTAGAGAAGACCCTTTGCAGATTATTGCTGAAGTGAAAAAATAATAATAAGTAAATCCAAAAAAAGTTATATAGGTATAAGTTTATGAAAATTATTTATAAAAAATATTTTACATAAAATATATATTTTATAAATCAGGTTGAACTCAAAACTGCAATAAAATCAAAGCCATTCATCTAAATAGGTTGTGTTCCAAATTTGAGGTTGATTTCTCAATAAATGAGCTTTTGGTAACAGTTTGTTTGGGCGTAGTAACATATTTTCCCCATTGGGTGGCAGCAAAACCCCACTGGAGCTCACAGTGACTTCTCTCTCAGTCTTACAAACACACACACATATTTTTTAATAACACACATACTAACCACACTCTGACATCCATACCAACACACCCACACAAATATCGTTGCATAATTTATCCAGTTGGCTCTATAGTATGCCGAAGCAAAAAACAGGAATAAAGCGATATTTGTTTTATAGGCCAAACTTAAAAAAAATGAAACCATCTGATAAAAAATAGTAAAAAATAAACATTTGAAGCCTTGCCATCAGAATAAAAGCCTCTTAACAAAGATTGCATCATTTTATAGTTAACTGAACCGGGGATTAAAAATGGCAGTTTTAATGGGGACATTTTTGTCCAAAAGGTGCTGAGAGGGAGTATTTTTTATACCTAATGCAAAAAATATTTTTTTTTTAAGAAAATAACGGTGAAATAGTAAAATTCCAATAAAAATACACACCTGTGCCAAGTTTTTTGCAGTTAGCTTTAACACAGGCAAAGTGATCAAAAAAACAAAACTACAAAATGTCCATAAGGATCGGATGCACAAGGGTTATGGAAGTTCCCCAAACAGGAAGTGCCGCCCGTCGTCGGAAGGTCGTCAGGAATAAGACGGATAAGCAATATCAACGAGATCAAACATGTTTACGTTGCTAAGAGTGGTCGCTAGGGTGTTGTGTGGTGATTGGGTGATGCGATCACAGCCGTGTTCTATCGTAAATAAAGACACAGCTGTTGACCAATCAGAATCAAGGACTGGAACGCACGGTTTTATAACTCTGCATAATCGGCTGAGAAATGTCCTATGTGGATCTGTTCAGACAAGCACAGAATGAGCGGGGTCACCTTTAGTGGTGACGACCTCCACCAGCAGGAGGCGCAGGCTGCGGGAGCGGGCGTCCCGTACGGGGAGCAGGCGCAGCATTAGCAGACGCGCACAACAGCGCAGGAAACGCAACTCCTCATCCGGACTCATCAGACACGCGTGCAGCGGGAACGCACGAGGATCTTCCTCCAGCCTGGACACACACACACACACACACAGAGACACACGGTCTATTACATTATAACTATCATGACAATAAAGCAGTATGAAATTATATATGATATGATTTTTAAAAGTTAGACATTTTTTGCATGACATGATATTATTATATAATATTTGCTATTTAAATTTTGCCAGAGTGATTTATTGGCATGATTGTTTTGCATATTGCTGAAAAAAAAAAATTATATAAAAAATTAATTGCGATTAATCGCATCCAAAATAAAAGTCTCTGTTTACATAATATATTTGTGTGTGTTGTAAATAATTATTTTGTATAAATAAATACCTATGCATGCACGTATATATTTAAGAATTATTTGCGCTTAAATTCTGTGTATATATAAAAATACATAATCTATATTATATAAATATTTTATATATGAATAACACATTTTTTTAATGTATATATTTAAGAATTATTTGTGCTTAAATTCTGTATATAAAAATACATAATCTATATTATATAAATATAAATATTTTATATATGAATAACACATTTTCTTAAATATATACATGCATGTGTGTGTATTTATATATACAAAATAATTATATACAGCACACACAAATATATTATGTAAACACAGACTTTTATTTTGGATGCGATTAATCGCAATTAATTTTTGCACAGCCCTATATTTTTATATATATTTTTTTTCAGCAATATGCAAAACAATCATGCCAATAAATTACTCTGGAAAAATTAATAAAAACAGAAATTTTGTTTATTTTATTTTTCATTCTAAATATATTTAATTTTAATATATTCTATATTATAATATAGATTTTATGTTATTTTAATCTTCTTCTTTGGCAATGTGCAAAACAATCATGCCAATAAAGCACTCAAAAAAATCAAACTGCAAGAGAAAGAAAATAACGTCTTGTTTGTTTAATTTACTCAATGCAATCACAACATTAAAGCATTAAAATGATGAAACAGTAAGAGATCACATCAGAAGATGACATCATATATGAAGGAGAAATATTACAAACACTGACGGTCAGATGAGAGGAAGAACAGAGGCAACAGAAGACGTCTGTCCACTCAGCTAATGAGCTGTGCAGATCGATCGCTGACACACACACACACACACACACACACGGCGGGCAGATATGCTCATTACTGCATCCACATCCATCACACACACAATCTTACACACACACAGTGGTCAGATATGCTCAATACTCAATTACAGACAGCATTCAAACACACACGACAGGCAGATATGCTCATTATAACTATATCTACATCCATCACACACACTGACAGAGAAAGTGTGTGTAAGATTGTCTGTGCAGAAGTGTGAATTTGAAATATTATTCAATCAAACTAAAACATTTGAATCTCCAGAGTGTGTGTTTGACCTATATTATTCATGTTACTTTAACTATATTTAATATGCAGTAAGTCCGTCATGAACAAGTTATTGACCGTTTAAATGTTTATTTTTCAATAAATGACATAATTACGTCATTAAAAAGTTGGTACTGTAACGTTATTGTTATGAAAACGGCATAAAGCGCAATTCAAATATATACAGATCAGTCGTTATTATAATTTTTACCTTTAATATAAAAGAATTGCAATAGACAATCATGCATGATGAAAACACAGCGGTGAACAGAACCTGCCGGTTCACCTTCCTCAACGCAGTGTTGTGCGTCTCACCGTGTGTTAGCAGCTTTGAGGTCGCAGAAGTGTGTGTGGAGGGTCTTGACCGTGTCGTTACACACCAGGTTGACCACGTCCACCTCGGAGAGACGCATGCGCAGCTGTTTGATCATTTCCCAGAAGTCCTCCGACAGCATCTGGTACAGCTGGCCCTCATCTCGGCTCAGCGGGACGTACCACGACAGGATATAGTCCCGGTAGCTGTAGTCAAACACTGACAACAAGGAGAGACTTCTTACTGGTTTATAAAGCAATTTTTTTTACTGATATTCACAACCATATTCAAAATCATAATAATTTTTCAGACAAAACGCTTATTATTTTGCAAACTGCCATCATCCTTATCAAGTAAAATATTTTAATAGACTAAAATTGTATGCAATTTCGGTCAGAATGAATCAATGGACTACAATGTATGATGTTATATATATATATATATATATATATATATATATATATATATATATATATATATATATATATATATATATAGATATAACATCATATATATATATATATATATATGCATAATATAATATTTTGTAGAAATATACTTTATATAAAATAAATTATTTACATGATTTTTTTAATAGATATTTTTACATTTTGTAAAAAAAAATAATATATATATATATATATATTGTAAAAAAAATATATATATATATGCATAATATTATAATATTTTGTAGAAATATACTTTATATAAAATAAATTATTTACATGATTTTTTAATACATATTTTACATTTTGTAAAAAAAATATATATATTGTAAAATATATATATATATATATATATATTGTAAAATTTAAAAAAAAATAATATATATATTAGGGCTGTGCAAAAGTTAATTGCGATTAATCGCATCCAAAATAAAAGTCTGTGTTTACATAATATATTTGTGTGTGCTGTATATAATTATTTTGTATATATAAATACCTATGCATGCATGTATATATTTAAGAATTATTTGCGCTTAAATTCTGTATATATTTATAAATACATAATCTATATTATATAAATATAAATATTTTATATATGAATAACACATTTTCTTAAATATATACATGCATGTGTGTGTATTTATATATACAAAATAATTATATACAGCACACACACATATATTATGTAAACACAGACTTTTATTTTGGATGCGATTAATCGCAATAAATTTTTGCACAGCCCTAATATATATATATATATATAAACATATTTTATTTTTTACAAAATATTAAAATGTACTTTTTATATGGAATTATATGCTTGAAATTGAAGTTAGGTGGGGATTTGATTGGATGGTTGTGTTTTAGCCATGTGAGTGACAGGCTATAGTCCCGCCCACATCATCAGAGAAGAGAAGAGATGCTGCGAGAGGAACTTGTTCTCATTCAAGATTATTAAAAGAATAATAATGTGCACCGATAAATCGTTTATATCGTAATAACCACTGCAATATCCCACTGGGGGAAAATAATTGCATTATAAATTTTGCATTTTCACTTCTCCAAAACTTAACGCCACACACACACACACACAACGGCAGATGGCATGAATGTGATGCCACTACCAGAGGATTACCAACGACTGCAGACTACAGTCCTCTTATGACACTCGAATCCTGCGCCCAACACACACACACACACACACACACGCGGTCCACACGAACAGATCGAGAGTGACAGTGACACCCTTTGTGCAGCCGTTTCTGAACGCTTGGTTTGCAGGCATTTTTACTCCCAGCCGAGGAGAACTATTTATAGTCACAGTGACCTCATAAAATGTGCTGACTTTCCCCAGCTGAGCAACAGGAAGTGATGCGTAACCCGTTCCCATGCCGTTTCCTTCAGGCGGCTTCCTCTTTATCAAGTGACACGGCGGAAAACACGCAAGACCGAGAACTCGAGTAATTCTGTCACACTGTCGACTGCAAGAAAGACTATTTATAGTAAATAATAAAAAAATAAACATTTAAATTAATACAAAATACTAGATATACACATAAAATAAAAATATAATAATAAAAATAAAATATAACAGATAAAAATGAAGTAAAAAAAACAATAAAAATGAATAAAAACTTGCTGAAAAGATGCTAGATAGTTTGTAAAAATGTATTTTAAATCAGATTACACAGGAATTATAAAGGTAATAGAGAATATTTCTAAGATTGAAGGACTAATTAAGCAACAAAAGCCTGAACAAAAACCGGAGGAAAATGTAAGTCGTTATTCACTGATTATATCTAAATTTGATTCGAACATTGATTCATTTTTGTATGAATAACTACTACAGCTTTTCAGCATGAGGTTGGCAAACATCACTAATGAGGATGAAATTACATCTAATTTACTCAATTCATAAATGTGACACCCAGCTGTGCTCAGACACAGGAGGAAGAGTCAGACGAGCTCAGAAACGGCTTCAGTGAGTTTCATTCATTCGGTTTAACAAGACCTGTGATTCATGAGTCACTGAAGCTCGATGCAGTTTTATACACTCATCCTGTCAGGAGAGAGCGAATGTGACGGGCACAGATTACTCAGGTGCTCTTTTGACTTGGACTAGAATGCAGTCACCTAGCAACCACCCGAAAATGCCTAGCAACGCCCTAGCAACCACCTAGAAGACCCTAGCAACTGAACAGCAACACATTTAAAACCTCTGAATACTTAAGGGTGGGCTTTTTTGACTTGGACTAGTATTAAATTACCTAGAAACTACTCTGAACAGCCTAAAATACTTAGAAACTCCCTAGCAACACCCTAGCAACCACGAGAACACCCTAGCAACTGCACAGCAACACATTTAAAACCTCTGAGAACTTGAGGGTGGGCTCCTTTCACTTGGACTAGTATTAAAATTACCTAGCAACCACTCTGAACAGCCTAAAATCTTTAGAAAATGCCTTGTAACACCCTAGCAACCACGAGAACACCCTAGCAACTGCACAGCAACACATTTAAAACTGCCGAGAACTTAAGAGTGGGCTCTTTTGACTTGGACTAGTATTCAATCACCTAGCAACCACTCTGAACAGCCTAAAATCCTTAGAAACTGCCTAGTAATACCCTAGCAACCACAAGAACACCCTAGCGACTGCACAGCAACACATTTAAAACCGCTGAGAACTTGAGGGTGGGTTCTTTTGACTTGAAATAGTATTCAATCACCTAGCAACCACTCTGAACAGCCTAAAATCCTTAGAAACTGCCTAGTAATACCCTAGCAACCACAAGAACACCCTAGCGACTGCACAGCAACACATTTAAAACCGCCGAGAACTTGAGAGTGGGCTCTTTTGACTTGGACTAGTATTCAATCACCTAGCAACCACTCTGAACAGCCTAAAACCCTTAGAAACTGCCTAGTAATACCCTAGCAACCACAAGAACACCCTAGCAACTGCAGAGCAACACATTTAAAACAGCTGAGAACTTGAGGGTGGGCTTTTTTGACTTGGACTAGTATTAAATCACCTAGCAACCACTCTGAACAGCCTAAAATCCTTAGAAAATGGCTTGTAACCCCCTAGCAACCACGAGAACACCCTAGCGACTGCACAGCAACACACTTAAAACCGCTGAGAACTTGAGGGTGGGTTCTTTTGACTTGAACTAGTATTCAATCACCTAGCAACCAATCTGAACAGCCTAAAATTCTTAGAAAATGCCTTGTAAGAACCTAGCAACCACAAGAACACCCTAGCAACTGCACAGCAACACATTTAAAACTTCTGAGAACTTGAGGGTGGGCTCCTTTCACTTGGACTAGTATTAAAATTACCTAGCAACCACTCTGAACAGCCTAAAATCTTTAGAAAATGCCTTGTAACACCCTAGCAACCACGAGAACACCCTAGCAACTGCACCGCAACACATTTAAAACCGCCGAGAACTTGAGAGTGGGCTCTTTTGACTTGGACTAGTATTCAATCACCTAGCAACCACTCTGAACAGCCTAAAATCCTTAGAAACTGCCTAGTAATACCCTAGCAACCACAAGAACACCCTAGCGACTGCACAGCAACACATTTAAAACCGCTGAGAACTTGAGGGTGGGTTCTTTTGACTTGAAATAGTATTCAATCACCTAGCAACCACTCTGAACAGCCTAAAATCCTTAGAAACTGCCTAGTAATACCCTAGCAACCACAAGAACACCCTAGCGACTGCACAGCAACACATTTAAAACCGCTGAGAACTTGAGAGTGGGCTCTTTTGACTTGGACTAGTATTCAATCACCTAGCAACCACTCTGAACAGCCTAAAATCTTTAGAAACTGCCTTGTAACACCCTAGCAACCACGAGAACACCCTAGCGACTGCACAGCAACACATTTAAAACCGCTGAGAACTTGAGAGTGGGCTCTTTTGACTTGGACTAGTATTCAATCACCTAGCAACCACTCTGAACAGCCTAAAATACTTAGAAAATGCCCAGTAACACCCTAGCAACTACAAGAACACCCTAGCAACTGCAGAGCAACACATTTAAAACTGCTGAGAACTTGAGGGCGGGTTCTTTTGACTTGGACTAGTATTCAATCACCTAGCAACCACTCTGAACAGCCTAAAATCCTTAGAAAATGCCCAGTAACACCCTAGCAACTACAAGAACACCCTAGCAACTGCACAGCAACACATTTAAAACCGCTGAGAACTTGAGAGTGGGCTCTTTTGACTTGGACTAGTATTCAATCACCTAGCAACCACTCTGAACAGCCTAAAATCCTTAGAAACTGCCTTGTAACACCCTAGCAACCACATAGAACACCCTAGCAATTGTTTTTATATTTTCACATAAAACTATTGAATTACTTCAGTAGATTTGGAATATAATGCATGAGACATATAGACTACTTTTGTGGTGAGATTTTCTCCTGGTGGATAACAAAACACTAAAAAAACTAGTTATCATTCTAGTCTTAAAGCCATATATAGCAGAAAGATGAAATCAAATAAAAAATAAATTAGTTGAAAAATCATAAATGCCTTGTTGACAATAAACTGAAATTAGATTGTTTTGAAGCTCTAAAATGATTAACTGGAAATAAATAAAAACTATAATGAAATAAAAATAAATGAAACAAATAGCATTCAAATTATTAACAAATTAATATTCAAAAATAATAATAATGATAAAAAAATATTCAAAATATTAATACAATTATAATAACATTTAAATAAAAATGTCAATAACACTGACCTATAAAAAAG